GAATTGGGGGGATGAGAACAGTGCTGGGGAATTGGGGAAGGGGAACAGACAAGTTGCTGTCCTTTTGTTCTTCAATCTAGTTGTGGAGGACATTGCTTCACTGGCCCAAGTTGGCACCATCATTGCTCTCTTCCCGGGCGAGGCAGATCAGTTGCTGGCTTCTGGATAGCTACTCACAGCGGCTGCTGGCCACTCATGTTGGCTGCTGACTACACACAGTAGCCCATGGCAACCCACTGCAGCAGGGGACTGCAGCCTAGCCGTCGCTGGCGACTCATGGCAGCCCAGCTCCAGGTTGAGCTGTTGTTCAGCATCTTAGCTTGTGGAGGGCAGTGTCACTAGCTCTCATATGTGGGATCCGAACCGGGGCCCTCTGGCATCCCAAGCCAGTTCTTAACCATCGCACCACTCGGCCAGCCCCAGAATATGTTTTTAAACTATGGTGAATTATAGTTCTTTTCATTGAAACACACTAAAATCTAAAATGACTATCTAGCATCTAAGCTGATTTTAGTTAGAAGCACATTGTTTTCATTAATAAATTAAATTTTTATTTTTCTAAAAGTTCTTGTAATGCTATAGTATTTATAAGTGCCCTTAGATGATTCATGACAAGTGCTGAATTATGTATTTTTTACTTTGAGCATTTTTGTTTTGTTGTAAGGTTGCTATTATCTGTCTATTCATCAGAATAAGCATTGCTTATTCTTTAAATTTATTTTGTTGTGCAAACATAATATCTGTTTCTAAATAAATATTTGCATTGTATCAGACTATTTTTACAGCTCTATTTTGTGTTCTCAAAGTCATCATCTTTCTTCGTTTAACTCAAGATATGCAGAACTATTTATAATTTATTGAGGATTTAATGAGAGGAGAGTTCACCTCCTGTTAGCTTTGGCTCTATAACATGGTAATATCTCAGTTTTGACTTCAGTCTCCTTCAGAGGGAAGGAACTGTTCTTTCAAATTTTTGAGTAAAGGTTTAATGATGACCGCCTTCAGGGGAGGAATTATTCTTTCTTAAAAATTTTTGTTTATTTTTTTCAGTTGACATTTGATATTATTTTGCATTAGTTTCAGGTGTACAGCATAGTGGTTAGACATTTATATAACATATGCAGTGATTCCCCCTTATTCGTCTAATACCCACCTGGTTCTATACATAGTTGTTGCAACCTTATTAACTATATTTTCTGTGTTGTACTTTACATAACCATGACTATTTTGTAACTACCAATTTGTATTTCTTAATCCTTTCACCTTTTTCACCCAACTCCTCAAACCCCCTTTTCTCTGGTACTGTATATATTTAACACATGCAATGGGATATTACTCAGAGGAACTATTTTTGAATGCAGGATGCTTAAAGCATGCTAGGTTCATGTGGCCCATACCAGGTCTTGCAAAAGCAGCAGGCAATCCCATATAATGGTTCTGACCACTAGCCTCGGCTGAACCAATAAGCTAATTACACCCTGCCTTTGCCTTCCTTGAAATGACTCTAGAGATGTAATCCCATAGATCCTAAAGCTGTGAAGCTGATAATTTGCTATTTCAGATGACTGGCAATTACTTCTAAGAAATTAGACAGGCTTAGTAAGAGAAAAATATAATTGCTTTTCCAGCAAGTTTTACTTAAGATCAACAGAAAAGAGAGAGTAAAAAAAAGTCTACATCCTGTTGGAAAAATGGAGTCTTCCATGATGTTTTTCTCTTTCAATTTTTAGGGGAGTTATTGAGAGATAATTTTTCATTGTGTATGACATTTTAGTACCGCTTTTATTGATTATATATTAGTTATTTAAGATTTCTTTATTTAAATGTTGATATGGAATTCACTATTGAACTTAGCCTTAATTTAGATTGAATATATTAATCGAATGTTTTGTGTGGTCCCAGAGCCACATCAACTAGGTATCCACTGGCCTGAATTGGAATATGGGTCACTTCCAAGTTGGCTACTGGCTCCTTGGGAATGAATGGCAAAGGTTTCCATGAAGAATAACTTCATGCATGCCAGATGATTTATCTCATAATCTTGTTATATGGTTAGCCCTAGTGATCCCATTAAGTATACTGAAATCCTGGTAAGAGAGACATAAAAAGAAATTACTTAGAAAGGGAAAGCTTTTTATAAAATACAAATATATACTCTTGTCTAACACCAAAAGACTCAAGGTTTTAATTATGATGCCCACACCTTACAAAATTAAAAGTTAAGGAATGATTTTATCTTTTTTCAGGAAACATAGATGTCATCTTTTTAAAAATCAAATATATGTTTTTTGTTTTTTGTTTTTTTTTTATTTCAGCATGTGGAGAAACCTTACAAGAATCCAATGGCAACCTTTCCTCTCCAGGATTTCCAAATGGCTACCCTTCTTATACACACTGCATCTGGAGAGTTTCTGTGACCCCAGGGGAGAAGGTAGTTCATAACATCAAGAGTACTCTTTTAGTATCATATAAGTACAAAGGTTCATCTTTCAAAGATAATTTGCTTTATTTTTATTCTTGTTTGATTCATCAAATAAGAGACTAAATAGCTCAGAAAATTTATAATGGAAATTGCCCAAACTCCAGGAATTTTTTGAAAAATGTAATTAAAAAAAAAATGGTAAATGCTCTAAAAGAGTTAAAATAATACAAATTATATTCTCAGACACAATAAAATCAAGTTAAAAGTCAGTATCAGAAAGATAATTAGAAAAATCATACACATTTTAATAAGAAATGTATATTAAATATCCAATTGAGGCAAAAAGAAATTATAATGAAACTTAGAAGTTATTTTCAACTATAATATAACAGAAACACTGAATACCAAGCCTATAAGATGCAACTAGAGCAGCAGTATGTAGAAGAAAATTCACAGACTTACATGCTTACATTAGATAATGAGAAATCCCCAAGACTAATGAGGTAGACAGCCATATAGAGAGGCTAGAAAAAGAGCAGTAAAATAAATGAAAAGGTATATAAAGAGGAAGAAATAAAAAAATGATAAAATTAATCACATGAAAATAACATGGTACAATACATGAGCAAAGTTGGTACTTTGAAAAATAAGGAAATGAAGGTAAAGGGATTATAAATCAAAAAGAATAACAGAGAAAGCACAATTATGTAATGTTTAGAATAAAAAAGATTATTATAACCATAGATGCTTTAGATATCAAAATAAGAATAAAGTAATATTTTGAGCATTATGCCAATAACTTTAAAAAGATAGATGAAATAGACAAATTACTACAAAATGTTACTTAACTAAATTCTTAAGAAGACATAAAAATCTTGAGTACACTGAGAACCACTAAAGATATTGAATTAATATTTAATTGAATTATTAGTCACATCTTTTTCAACAATACAAATTCAGACTCAGATGGCTTAATCAGTGAGTTCTACCCAAGAACCAAATAAGAAATAAGTATAAGCCTATATAAACTCTTCCAGGAAATAAAAAGGGAGATACATTATTTATGTGGCTAGCAAAACACTGATAGCCATCCTAACAAGACTAGTATAAGAAAGGAAAATTTTACCCAAAAATAACAGTTGAATATGGATGTAAAATCTCCCCAAATTACCCAACAAAATGCTTATATAAATATGCGTATATATGTAACTATATTATTTATGTCAAAATGCAGATATATATATATATATATATGCATGTGTATGTGTATACATGTATTATATATTTATATATGTTTGCATATATGTATCTGTTTATATATGTGTGTGTGTGCATGTATATTTATACATATATACAAACACCACGAGTATCTCAATTAAATCAAGAAAAACATCCATTAATGATTTAACAACAAGCCTCAAACAAGCTAGAAATAAAATACATTTTTAACCTTGTAAAGACAATTAACAAAGATTATTGTAAATACCATTATTATTGCAGAATATCTACCAGTATTTTTTATTAGATAGGTGAAAATATAAGTATGTCCACCACACCACTTCTTTTTCAACAATTTCATGGAAATCATAGCACATTAAGGTAAGAAAATGGAATTAAACCCTTAAGGGTTTAAAAGGAAGACATGAGAGTCTTCTTTTAGTTTGAGTATAGAATTTAAAATTATTAAGAAATCAATTTATTAATTTCTGGATTCTGTCTGGAATGCTAGCCTTACAAGTCTTCCCAAACCAAGATTGTATTGATATTAATCTTTATTTTTTACCAGTTTTTAAATCAATTTTGTCATTTGCCTGTGGCTAATACATCTGGGATGACTCAGATACACTTAGAGTTTTGGTAGGAATGCAACTGCAGCTAAGGAAAGTTTTCTATTCCTGATAATTGAATGTTGTTAACAGAATCATGAGTATGGAGCTGTGCAGTGTCTTGCCATGGTCACAGTGCAAACTGAATGAAACACTTGTGTAATACAAATAGATTTTACACATGAAAATTACAACTGACCTGGACTACATGAATGCACACATAATTCTTTATAGTGTTACTTTTAATTTAAGAAGTATAAGTCTATATTATAATGTAGTTGTATGTGTTGATTAATTTCTGTTTAGATGCTTTGAGTAAGCCCCTGAAAAATATGTCATGAAAACCATTCTTAAGAAGGTGAGCAAAATATAAAAGACAATAAAGCTTCAGAGCAAGTTTAAAACTATACATGGTTTTTGAAAAGAAAATATAGAATATGAAAAGTTTTGGAACAAAATTAATCAAATTAAATCAGCTCAAAAGAGCAAGATAATATCTGAAAGAAAAATGTTTCTCCTCTCCTACATATGAGTGAAATCATACCTTTTTTGTCCTCTTCCATCTGACCAATTTCACTTAGCATGGTGCTCTCAAGATCCATCCATGTTGTCACAAATGACAGTATGTCACCTTTTCTATGTCTGAGTAGTATTCCATTATATATGTGTACCACATCTTTATCCAATCATCCAGAGAAGGACACAGGTGTTTTCATGTCTTGGCTACCATGAATAACACTGCAGTGAACATAAGAGTACACATATCTTTACAAATAAATGTTTTCAAAACTTTGGGGTAGATACCCAGAAGAGAGAGTGCTAAGTCATATGGTAGCTCTATTCTTAATTATTTGAGGAACCGCCATACTGTTTTCCACAGTGACTGTACCAATTTACATTCCCACCCAGTAGTGTATGAGGGTTCCTTTTGCTCCACATCCTCTCCAATACTTGTTATTACTTGTCTATTTGATAATAGCCATTGTAACTGGTGTCAGGTTGTGCCATTCTTGTGTTTTATTATTTTCTTTGTTTTAATATTTGGATTTATTTTGCCCTTCTTTTTTGCTTTTTTGGTTGGAAGTTCAGCTTAATTTCAATTGTCTTTTGTAATACAAACACTTAAGGCTATAAATTTCCTTCTAAAAACTTTATCTGAATTTTACTGGCTTGATATATAGTATTTTTTTATAAATTTTTCAATTCTAATTATCTTTTTCATATGCTATATTATCATATATTATATACCTATATGTTTAGAATACTACATTGTCCTGATAAATTGTCATTATATAGTGAATCTTTTTATCTCTAATCATGGTTTAGGTTAAGTGTCTTTTTTCCTGATATTAAAAAAGGTATACTTTCTTTTGATTAATATTTTTCCCTGGTTTGTCTTTCTCTTGCTTTAGACATTCAATCATTCTATGATCTTGTGTCTCAGGTGTGTCCCTTTATACAACAGATAGTTTGGTTTTAATTCTTTTATTTAACCCATGATGGCAAATTCTGCCTTTAACTAGAATGCTATTGCAGTTCCATTTATTGTGATTACTGATGCATTACTAGTTTATTATTTGCATTCTGTATGTCCCAGTTTTTTGTTTTGCTTTGTCTTCTTATTGAATTCTAGTTTTATTGTCCCTCATTTCATTTTTTTTTCTCTATACTTGCTTGAAAGTTTTAAGTGTCTAGTATGTTATATTTGGTACCTTTTTTCTACCAGCCTACTTTCTTAGAGTAGTCATATTTAACCTGTTAACCTCTTCTGAAACCATAAAAATACCCTAAAAATATTCCAATTCACATTATCTTATTTGATATATGCATATATGAAAAGCTGCTATAAATTAGTAAGTAAAGAGTAATACCACATTAGAAAATGACTAAGGAAGCAGAGCATTTATTGAAGTAGCTGTGCAAATAGATATTTAATCAATATATGATATTGTATACTCTTGTTCTTCATCAAAGTAACGTTATTTGAACCAACAAAGATGTGTTGTATTTCACCCATTAAATTGGCAAAGAAAGCATAGAATAATATCAAATGATAGTGAGGGTACACAGCTCCTGGAAGTAAAATTTGAAATAACCTCTCTGAAGAAGTTTGGTAATCTATAACACATTTAAAATAAATGCTCTTGTACTTTAACCCAGAAATTTATCCTAGAGCAATTAATTGATTTTTTTTAAGGATTAAAAATTCTATTTTCCTAAAAACATGCAGAATGGCCAATGTAAAAGTGAAGGCCTTATTTGATAATTTCTTTATTAAATTATATTCATTAAGAAAGGATAAAACTTGGTATAAAATGTTACTAAATTTATCTCTCTGAAGATAATCAAATGAATTATTATCTAAAAATATCATGGCACCCTTGTTACAGACATTATGTTTTTCAAAAGCCTGGATCTAGAGGACTATGTTTTCAATATACAGGGACATTAAAAATCATAGGCATGATCTAATTTTTTTTTAAAGATTTTTATTGGGGAATTGGGGGGATGGAAACAGCGGTGGGAAATTGGGGGAAGGGGAACAGACAAGTTGCTGTCCTTTTGTTCTTCAGTCTAGTTGTGGAGGACGTTGCTTCACTGGCCCAAGTTGGCACCATCATTGCGCTCTTCCCGGGCGAGGCAGATCAGTCACCGGCTTCTGGACGGCCGCTCACTACGGCTGCTGGCTGCTCACACTGGCTGCTGGCTACACATGGTAGCCCATGGCAACCCACTGCCACAGGGACTGCAGCCTACGCCGTCGCTGGCGACTCACACCCGGCAGCCCAGCTCCAGGTTGAGCTGTTGTTCAGCATCTTAGCTGTGGAGGGCAGTGTCACTGGCCCTCATATGTGGGATCCGAACTGGGGCCCTCTGGCGTCCCAAGCCAGTTCTTAACCTTCACACCACTCGGCTGGCCCAAAAGATCTAATTTTTAAAGTACCTACATTAGAGACAAAATTAGGGAAGAATATATACCAAAACAATTCTATTTTTTTTCTCCCTGTTGGATTAACATGTAGGTTTAATTTTTTTCTTTTATTTTTCTACACTGAGCATATGTTATTTTATACAGAAAAATATCATTAAAAATAATGTTGCATAGCAATGGGTATATACTTAATGCTTCAGAGCTGTACACTTTCAATGGTTATATGGTAAATTTTATGTTACATATATTTT